TCTGTCTCACAAGATCAAAGTATCCATGGGCTTCTTGTACTGGCCTATAGCGTCTGCTATACATGGAGATGGTCACGTCAATTGGCGGTTCTGCGAGCCATGCAATAAAGCCGGCTTTGTTCGCCTAAGGTTCATTCAAATTGCCCACTGAGGTAAGCCCTCTTTGTGTCACCTTTGCAGTTTGAAATCGGTCGCATCTCTTATTCCATAATGTGCAGCTCCTGTACAGATTGCGTGATGGGGTGACTGGCCGGATGTTTACTTAAGACGTTCACCTTGTGAGTCGCGGTTGATTGCGAGGGCCGGGTGCTATGCAAGTAACTTTGTTAGTGCTAATTTAAGAATTATAGAGGGGCTAGGAGGTACTTACGTCGCTTACGACGAGAATATCTACCTCAGCGGCGGCGATGTCGGTGTCGTGGTAACCTAGGACGGGGACTTGGTGAGACATATCAGTATATGTAGTAGTCTCGGGGCGACGACAACGATCCTGGCAGGATACTGCCGCAGGAGATCAGGTTGAGAAGAACGAGGGTCTTGGCGTGGTTCTTCGAAAGTCGTTCGATCTAATGTACAACCGGAGGGAGAAGTGGACTGATTATGCTTTCTATGCAACCACGCCAGCCTAGGAACAAACTGAACAGCCTGGAGCCTACGTTGATGTTAGGTCACCTACCTAGCTATACAACAGTTAGGCCCGGAGGTTCTCACAGATTTCTAGGGCGTCAAAGAAATCCCTAGAAGACTATAAAGTGTTCCAGGACCCACTAATACCTAGTAGAACGAAAAATGTCCTTGCAATGTATGCGGCAAAGGCATTTCGGCGCCAGAGTTACTTTGCAAGTTTTTGTCCTGATGTAGTCTGCAAACCTGTTCAAGTTTTTTCTTCTATGTGGTGCAACCTCGGTTTGGGCCTCGTCTAGGATGCTTCTCGTGCCAGGGCTCCACAGTCAGTGCAAGAATCAACAAGCCAGCTTATCGTATTGTGTAGCAGTAAGGAAAACCACCGGCAGTGTAAGCCAGTGACAAACGTGCAGAGTAACTATACCACCAAATCATCTCTTGATGTATGCTCTCCGGTTGTGGTTACATTGACACCGAGATGAAAACGCGGGATCGTCCGCTCCAGCTAGTAAGTCATTCAAGCATACTTCACCCAAGTCGGATATCACACATAATCTCAGACGCGTCACCATCGCGTCATCCGACAAAAAGTGGCCAGAAGAAAAAGGAAAGAGGAGACAACCAAGGAACACATACAGGGACTGCAGAAGATGTGTTGAATTCCTTTGTTATTAAAACGCGGTCTGCCAAGAAAGAAAAGCATACTGGCCGCATGAGGTCTATTGGCAGTCCATTGTGTATTGTTGAGACAACACGGAGTTCCGTCTATCTATGTTGAGGCTTCGGGTGCTGAGGCGGACGCTGCCCAGACGGACGCCCAGCCACAAGCTGTGGCGGGTGACGTTTCGAAACCAGTTCCAGATCGTGGCGCATAAAGGCTACGCGGCCTTGCAGTGTCGCAGCCATAGGATCGGGTATATGCAGAGTATGGTGTAACGCGGGTGCTGCCGTTGCTTGTGGTCGCCAAGGGCGACTTGTGGTGTCATTGCGGCACCATGCAACGACGCAACGCTTTGTTGCTACCTTGAGGCATCGTGGCTGATACTTGGAGGTTTTCACATGCTGGCATACTTGTCGTGGCTAGATTTAACCTTCATGTCCAGGGCCGTCTCGTGAAAGTTGCCCTCGACTCTTGATTTTCGTAGTTTCTTGACCTCAGCATCGTTCAGACGTCGGCCAATCTGGTCCTCCAGCTCCTTGCGACTGATTTTGACATTGGCCTTTTCTTCCTTGCTTGCCTTGTTTCGCGGTTTGAAGCGGGCTTGCATGCGGATGCGGAAAGTAGTGCTGAAGCTTATGTGTTCGGCGTCGCCGCGTGGCTCTGGGCCCTTGGAGGAGGATTCGTCTATGGTGAGGAACAGGTCGCGGGCAGTCTGGAGGGAGAAGGCAGAGGGATTGTCGGGTACGGGGATGACGACAAACGTCTCTTCGGGGGAGATGGCGGTTGCAGTTGCGCTGAGGACGCCGAACTTGTCGCAGCTCAGATATCTGGACTAGGTTAGCGATGCCAGCTTCATTCATGTCGTGGTTCCTTACCTTCCGTGATGGCCCTTCAGACTAAGCTGCTCTGTGCCGGCAATGCGATTTGCGACAAAGACCTGGCGCACATCGTGGGGTTCGGCCGTCGCGACATCGCCGTCGACAACGTTCTCCAGCTCGCTCGCAAAGACCTTTCCGTTGGCGTCGCATGCCAGACACGTGCTCGGTGTGTCGGTGGGCAGCACAATGACTACGGGACCTGTGATGTCGCTCGGCGCATCTGCGCTCACCCAAGAGTCGTCATGCTCCGCTTCGGCAGGCGCGCTGGTGGTGAGCTGCTTCGAGGGTTTTTCGTCGGCGTCGTAGGGGTCGGCAGCTTTTCTGCGCTTCTTGACCTTCTTGTCGCCTTTGAAGTGGAGGGCTTTGGGCATGGCGATGGCGTTGTTGGTTGTCGCAATCAGGCGTCGGAGGTGAGAGATCGGAGCTGGCCGAGGCTGCAGCAAATCAGGCAGGTGCAGTCGAGGTGCGGACCAGATGAGACCAACCGCGCACTACAACATCACGATAAAGTCGCAGTACTACGTAGTGAAAACCATCATCCACACCTATCTTGCTAGACGACTAACATGGCCAACGCTAATGCTGCAGTCAACCAGAGCGCCGTCGCCGTGGGTCTTGACGCCCTGAAGAATAGTGAGTGGTAGCTGTATGGCTGTGACTCAGCTTGGCTGATAATGCTCCAGATGATGTAGACTTCTCGCTACTTGAAGAGGCCTTTGGCTCGTCTAGCCTGGGAATCATTGTGGTAAAGGATCTCCCGTCCAAGTTCCATGAGCTGCGACACAAATTACTATCGTACGCCTCTGCTCTCGGAAACTTACCAGAGGATGAATTGGGTAAGCGCCACTAATTAAACCTACATCTGAAAGACCACTGACATGGCACTAGTCAAGCTCGAATCTCCAGCATCCAAATGGCTGGTTGGCTGGTCTTGCGGAAAGGAGACGCTCAAAGATGGCAAATACGACACTCTCAAGGGCTCCTACTACGTCAACTGCGCCAGCGGATTCGAAGAGCAGCAGAAGACGGTTGCTGAAAAGTACCCCTCCTTCCCAGAGTATACCGCGCCGAATGTGTGGCCATCTCAAGAGCTTCTCCCAGGCTTCGAGGAGACTTTCCGCGAGCTATGTACTCTCATCATCGACATTGCTGCATTGGTTGCTCGTGCCTGCGACAAGTATGCTGAAGCCAACATCGATGGCTACCAAAAGGGATATCTTGAGCACGTAGTTAAGACAAGCGTCTTCACCAAGGCCAGGCTGCTGCACTACTTCCCCAGTCCCTCGCCCGCTCCCGACGCTTCCAGCGGTGACGAAGACGACTGGTGTGCGACTCATCTCGATCATGGCTGTCTGACCGGTCTGACATCTGCCATGTTCGTCGACGAGGCTATCCATCCGCCAAAAACAGGTGCATCATTCTCGCCCCTGCAGGAACTGGATCGCTCACCGGACCCCAAGGCGGGTCTCTACATCCACTCCCGTACCGGAAACGTCACAAAGGTCAGCATACCTCGAGACTGCCTCGCGTTCCAAACGGGCGAAGCACTCGAGATCATTACACAGGGCAAGTTCAAAGCCGTCCCGCATTTCGTCAGAGGCGCGGCAACTGGGGGAAAGGTAGCAAGGAACACATTGGCAGTATTCACCCAGCCGAACCTGTGGGACAAGGTGGACGACAAGAGAGACTTTGCAGCTTTTGCCAAGGAAATTGTTGAGAAGAACCACTAGGGCTGTAGCGGTCATTGTGTAGCGACTTCGCAGATCAGTAAATAGATAAGATGTAGTAAGATTACATCAGGCATCTCACCTGCTCATCTTACACGGTGCCAAGCTCCCAAATGATTTAGCCCAAGGTACCCGTGGACCTGAGTTGGCGGAGTTCTCCAAGAACGGCTGCATGCTGACGGATGGTATTTGGGGGTTGTCAGAATCCCATGCAGCCTCCAGGGCTTGGCCTGACAGCTGTGGCTCGTCACGACGCCAGCGCTAGCACCTGTACCGTCGAAGCTGAAGAGCCTCATTTCGGCCGCCCACGCACGCATAATCCAACGCGTCGTCGTCTACGCACGCCATCGTCGTCGCAGCGCGCTAGGAGACGGCGGTGATACGCGCTACACACATTGCGCGGCCTCGAAAGTTGAAACACACAAAACAGCGGCTGTCATCTAATCTACGTCGACGATCCCGCCCTGCACTGTCAGCCGCCAACCAAACGTGGAGGGTGGGTACAGACGCTGCGTTGGGCCCGAACTTTGCGCCACACGTCCAATGTCCTGTCCACCTGTCATGGCAGGCATCCGACGATGCACGTCGGCTTCTCTGCGCAACCTGAGGCACCATTCCCGCCCTCGCCACAGCCGTGCCAACACACGCTCTATATTCGTATTCTTGACTGCAGTGCCGGCTTCCGGTTGGCGCGTCGTCGGCCACCGCCACAGCGAATTGCCCATGCAGAGGCTTGATGCCAAGACACTGAAGGCCTGAAACCGGTGGGGTCTATTCACCATCCACCGACGAATATTACGCGGCCACCCATGCTGGCTCGGCGCTTGTTCCCCCTTTCAGCCCCAACGCCAATTACACGGCCAAAAATCCCTATTCCTTCTCGACGCTCTCTATCATGCCAAGAAAGCGTATCCGAGATGCCGTCTTTGCATGGGGGAACTTGCTTGCACCCTTGCATTCCACTTAACCTCCTTCTTGGTTCGATCCAACCCACACCAATGCAGCCTCTATAGCTGTCACTGTCGCTCATTTTTCTTCCTTCTCTTGGTCTTCCTATCATTCCTTGGGCCTGTTTCTCCCACCATCAGTCGTTGAGTCGTCTGAATGCATATGTCTTTCCTAGCAAAGGCCCCGTTATCGCTTGCGCGCGCCACCATCTCGAGCCTTGCTACTCCTCTGGAACCCGCCGCTGGTCCTGGCAAAATGGCTTCCAACAACCGCCAGAATGTTACCTGGGTTGAGGTGTGTAGTTATGACATGGTATGAAAGACATTTACTAACATGTATAGGGTGTTCGCGGAGTTGCTTCCTTCTGGGTCGTCGTAACACATTTATGCAGGGCTTGGGACTACAGCCTGTGGTCGCCACGAGACAACGAGAATGCGGCACCCCAACTACTGCAGCTACCTTTCCTCCGATTACCGTTCCAAGGCCGTATTGGAGTCACAATGTTTGCCTTCCTCACCGGTTACGTATGCGCCATCAAACCACTCCGACAGGCCAAATCCGGAAACATCCCAGCTGCACTCGAGACACTGGGCAAATCTGCTTTCCGCCGTCCACCGAGGCTGATTATGCCTGCGACTATTGCCCTGGTCATTGCGTGGTTCTTTGCCCAGCTGGGTGCTTTCGAGGTTGCGCACCTCAGCGACTCCCACTGGTTCCGCCGTTCCGTCCCGACCAACATTGGTGGTCTTGACACGGAAATCCCACGCTTAATCAAGAACTTCCAGACCTCATGGTCCGGCGCCAACAACGAATACGACGACCACCAGTGGGCTCTCTTGCCTCTGTTGCAGGGTGCTTTCCTCATCTACGTTCTCTTGTTCGCCACTGTTTTCATGAAGTTCCGCATGCGCCTCTTCACCTGTATGGTTCTGTTCCTGTGGTACTGGATGCGCACCAGCCCGGAAAAGGGTATGTATAGATATCTGAGTTCCTTGACTCTTAGCTGACATTGTTAGAAACCTTCGAGTGCCAATTCCTCTACGGTGTCATCCTCTGCGACCTCGGCTCCGAGAAAAGCTTCCGCGAATTCGTTAACAGCCGCGTAAAGGCCCGCCGCATCGCAACCGCCTTCCTCATCCTCCTCGGCTGGTACGTGGCGTGCTACCCTGGTGAGCACTGGGAGTGGTCGACTTGGTCTGTTCAGCTTAAGAACATCGGAGACTGGATCATTCCTCAAGGCGCGGCAAGCTACCCCAAGCGCTGGACAGCTATCGGGTGGGATCTGATGGTCACTGGAATCTGGCTATCGCCTTCCCTGCAGAGCATGTTCTCCAACAAGCTCTTCATGTGGGTTGGTCGCAACAGTTTCGCCGTATACCTTACCCACGGAACGGTTATGAAGGTCGGCCTTGCGCGCTTAATCTACGGATTCAGCACCGCACCCTACCACGTCGAACAGCCAAAGGACGGCCAGGGCGAGGCCATCGAGCACTACATTCCCCGGTCTACCAACTGGTTCGTCTGGGCCCTCGCTATCCCCATTTTCTTCGTCGTCGAATACACTATCGCCCATCTCTGGACCACCTACGTGGACGCACAGTGCGCGAAGGCCACCAAGTGGCTCGAGGACAAGATGTTTGAGAAGAACGAGGATGAGAAGCACGGCGCCGCGAACATGGCTTAAACCAACACAATGCGCAATATTCCAAGCATCAGGAGCTACAGACGAGAACCTCCTGCTCGATTTCCCTTGTTATCGGATTTTCATTTTTGGGTTACGATTTCCTTTGTCGGTTTCATCATCATCTGCGGATACCAATATTCGTCGCATTTCACGGAGTTTTTGGTGTCGAAGACAACAACCATCATAAAGCGTAGAGCTTTCTTTAGATGAAGCAAATGTTCTCGTGTCGCAACGACAAGATATATGCGACACTGTTTAGCGTAGCGAATAGCGAGTCGAAAGTTCAACAAATTATCTAATTCAAACACCACATCAACTCCAACATCTCTGCGCGATCCTCTTGCCAACGTGTTCTCATCTCAGCAGTAGCATCCGATCTTCATTAATGCGCGGTGAGACTGACAATTCCCCGCAGATCACAAACCCACGCAGCGATCCCAAATCTTGGCCGCCTCATTATGGAAAGTATCGCAGCAGACAAATCATGAAGCCCGAACAAATCAAATCAAATGTAAAAAAGACCGAGTTAATTACGCCATTGCAATCCCCGCTCCTCACCTCTTTCCGTCAAGGCTCAAGAACCCCATCCCTAATCCAATCTCCGCCTTTCCCCAATCGCCTCCATCGCAATCCTTCAATGACGTACCTATCCTGCACACGCTTGCGCAAGACCCTCTTTCCCGCAGGACAGACACTCTAGGCCAAGACCAAGAAATCCACAAGACATCACGAGCCACATGCACAACTTGTTAAGCTTATTGCCAAGCTCGCTGCTAAAATGCCGCGATGGTGCGAAGGGGGGCCTTTAGCCACAAAGGGTCTTCTTGGCGGAGGTTGGAACCGGCTGCTGCCGATTATTACCGCTAGCTGTGGCGGTGGGTGTTGTGTATGCGTGTGAGGGTGTGCGAGAGAATGCATGATGCCGTCGTGGCAGTGGGCGCGTGATGTTGTTGATCTTGAGTTGGAATGAGAGTGCTTTTCTGGCGCATGGCATGTGGTATTCCCAGCATCCGCGGTGGTATACCGATCTGGAAGGGTGTGGAGGCAGAACGAGCAGGGATGCATGGACTCGCGCTCTTTTGCAGTCTAGGCGGAGCAGACCCTGCGATGCGATTTTCTACCGAACGACGCTCTCAATGGTTTTTTTGCTCAACGACGTCATCTTCTTCTCCGCTTTCGCTAACGCGGAGAATGCCCTCGTTCAGATTGAGACGGTCCGTACGGATACATTAACGGTCGTATAGTGGGCCGTCGCATTATCCCGCACTTCTTCGTTACGCGCCGATACGAATGAGCAGGACGTGTCTTGGGTACTTGGCGGACGAGGTTTCGCATCGTTTCAGCTGCCTGAGCAGTTGCAAGGGAGTCTGAATGCACTCTGATATTGAGGAAAGGAACGCGCGTAGTTTGCTGAGTGAGATGCGGCCGCGTATGACCTGACGTTGTCTGTGGTGTCTTCGTACAACAGTTGTACAACACCAGCAAATACCTAGCTGCAAAGATGAGCTCGGAAGGGGTAAATGGCGACTAATGAATGGACAGGCAGCTTTCTGGAAAACAGACCACGACATATAGGCCAGAAGGGAACATCGTTTCAGAAGCACGAGGAAGTAAATATTTAGAGAGTAGGTGTATACTCTCCTAAGCTTAGTTGCACGTACTCTTCTCTCCGCAGTATCCCACACGTCCAACACTCATCACTATCTCTTCTCCCCGTTTCCTCACGAGGCCTCAATCCCTCGATCCATCAGCCTCTCAATTCCAATACTTGGGCCCGCCGTAATAAGTGCTACCATATATTTGGCCCCGCGGATTTACGCTGGGTAGTCGTCTCCGCTGCGGGTCACCGGTGTAATATCTGCGATCTCCCCCTTCTGGCATAATGGGAGCAAGTCTGAAGCCATTCCTTGGCATTTCAAATAGTCTGTCGTTTCGATAGTCGAATCGGTTTGAGCCTCGCATTTTCGATTGCGAGATGTTTGTGTTGAAGCCTGATGGCTGTTTGGTGGTAGTTATCTGTAGGTGTTGTTTAGGGATGGGGTATGGTGTAGAAGGCTTTGGTAGATCAAGGGACCTGTATGAATGCTTAGTGGCTTGCTTTGGGTATCGTGGACTATGGACTGTGGACTGTGGTATGAGAGAGGTAAGAGAAACATCGCCGCGCCGTTTTATACGCCTAGCTTCTTCAATACCGCAGCATGGAAGAGGACTGTGACGACTGCTCGCAGGAGGTATGTCGCAGCTATGTGTATGTTAACAGCTCTACACGCCTCTTATTGAAATCACCGAGGGCCGCTTTGTTGGCAACTTGGGTTTGAACAGGCAGCTCTTAGAATAGATACAACGCGATATTTTGGTGAGACAGGATCAGTAGATTCGAAGCACGTAAAGGTAGACATTTAGATAATGCAGGTGTGTATAAACTCATTCAAGCTAAGTTGAATACATTCTCCTCCTCGGTTCACCACACGTCCAGAACTCATTCCTTTCTCCTCTTCCTGCCTCCTCACAGTCCATCACTCCATCACCTCCAACCATAATTCCAACGACCGTTCATGATGCTCCTGTCATCTCTCACCCATATCTGGCCCCGCGTGTTCATACGGGGTAGTCGTCTCGACCCGTTAAAGTCTCCTCTATCCCCTCGGAATCCCGGCATCATGGGAGGAAGTCTGAGACCCTGCCTTGGCATTTCACTCAGGTTGTGGCGGGGATAAGCAGCTCGGCCTTCATAAGGGTTGATGGGCATTTTTTGGTCGCTGGAAGGCTACCTGGGAAGGTAGGCGTACTGTGGCTGAATGTGAGTTTGGTGTCGCTATGTGTGGTTGCTTTCTGGGTATGAGTAATGAGGCTTTGGTCGATGGAGTAAGTTGTATGCTGGCTTGGTTGCTTGCTTTGTGTACTGTGGATTGCGATATGAAGAAGGTTAGAAAAGCATCGCAGCGGCGATATATATGCCTGTCTTCATTCAATATTGCAGTGCGCATGAGAATCGCAACCACTGCTGGCGGAAGGTGTGCTGTTATCTTGTAGCCGTATGTATGCTGGTAGCTCTTCACGCACTCGGGTCAGGTCATCAAGGGCTGCTTCAAACAGTACTTGACACGGTGCCTTGTTTTCGTACGGACACGTCGGAATATTCAATGAAGCTGTATACAGTGCTTGACTGTTGGAAGTACGTTTGCTCAATATTAAACAACGTGTCTCCCTTGCTTCAATATCACTAATAGCAGAGTGAACTAATAAGACGAGGTAGCAACCTCGCAACACTAAGATAACGGGTTGAGGATGACTATAGGTATTGAATACTTCTGAGGCACCCGGACAAGCGGAGTAGAGAACGATCACCACATACATATAAACTCACAGTAGAAGCGAGTTTCGAGAACGTGAGAAGCATAAGCTGAGATAGTTTGATATCATCACATTACAGAACACCCCCGCGCCTTCTTCCTTTCCGCTCTCCTAGCAAAGCCTGCAAACACGTGAAGCACATCACATTCAGTGTTACCCCTCGACTTCCCATCTACCTCGGAGGTCCAGGCCCTAACCATCTCCCCGATGCGCTCCACCCATATCCCTGTCCGCCTCCCCCAGGGTAACCTCTTGGCCCATACGATGATGAGCCGGGGGGGAATAAGCCAGGAAACTGCGATCGCGGACCAGGCAGAGGTCCCCGAGGAAAGTCTTGCTGTCCGCTGTAACGAAACCGTTGATCTTGTTGGAATCGCTTGAAGTACTCCATTTCCCCTATCAGGTCTTCGTAGGAGTCGCGTGGCATGTTTATTGGGGTTGCTGGGTAATAGGGCTTGAGGGTACTGTGTTGTGTTGTGTTGACTGGTTGGCTTGGGTATAGTAGTAGAGTTTTGCTTTGGATGCTGGAGCGTAGAGAGTAAGGAGGAGGTGTTGCGAAATACTTTATATGCCGCATTGTTGGTGAAGAGCGTTGGACGCGGAACGAATGTATTGTAGGCGGTTGTGCAGTGAACGCAGTCGTTGGTATTCGTGAAGATGTATAGCGGAGGTTGGGTAGAACAATGTGACATTGTGTAGAGATAGAGAGGACGCGAAGGAAGCCTTGTTACAGCCTCTATAACGATAAAAATCAGCATTTTGAGGCTAGACATACAAGTTATATATGCCAAAGCACGCCTCAATCTTGTGCACGAAAAAAGACGGAACAGGTCTGCAGACTACATCAGCATAAGAACATGCAATGTAGGTAGGCTAGCATTCATATAGGCTCTTGAATCTTCAGTTTTACCATGAGCTGACGTGCCCTTGCCCTTCCAGAGTTCATGCTCTCAATCAAGTGACACGACATAACCTCAACTTAGCTGTGCACCGCCTTACAGTTCTTCGCTTTACAGTCGTCTCTGTCCACCATGTAGCTTCTGTCATCCTCGAAACCACATACCCAGTATCCATCTTCTTCAAAGTGGCGCCTCATATGCTTTCCCCATTGCTCTTCGTCCATGGCTCCGGCCCATATACCCTCGTATTCCCAACATATCAAACAACTTCGCCTTTCAATTCCATTTTTTGTGCTAGCTGGCAAATGCGATTCAAGCACAAAGGAACATGAGAGTCCTTGATGAGCTGGCCGGTCTTGAGTGTAAGACCTGGGATAGAACAACTTGACTGAGAGGCCACAGTATGAACATTTGTGTTGATCCTCTTGATCCCAGAAGAGATCTTTGCTTCCATCACGGCGTAAAGCGATAGCTCCGGGACAGAAACCAGGGTTCATGCCGAGGAGGTGTTTGATGCACATTGACCAGGTTCGTTTCTTGCGGCGACAAGGCAACTTCGGTAGTATGCGAGCGCATGTTGCGAGTGGATGTATTTGTCGACTCGGTGTTTGTCCGGAACCAACACGTAGAATTTCGCTCTCGCCTTCTCTGAGTTCAATCGTCTTGTCAAGGGTACCGTGCGGTTCAAGGCCGTTCCGCCGTTCAATCTCGAAACCACGTGCGTCTTCGTTATTCTCGATGTATGCA